GTCCCGGGTTGCCGGTTCGATTTCGGATTTGGTCCCAGGTCACCAATTTGGTTTTTCGGATTCGGTCTCGGGTTACCGATTTGGTTTCGGATCCTGTCTCGGATTACCGGTGCGACTTCAGCTCTGACCGTGGATTACCGGTCTGGCTTTGGTCTGACTACTGATTACCAGTTTGGCTTTAGTCCCGGTTACCGGTTCGCCCGTCATGGGTGTTTGAGAACCGTGAGAGTTTATGCAAAAGCCCTGAGTGACTCAGCTTGTGCTTGTGCAGCTACAGTTATTCAGAGTATCGTCGATAATGCGACCACTGACAATCGGACCCTAATCACTGGCTTAGCTCCAGACAGTGATGTGTACTGTTTGAGAGATTCCGCAGCACCCTGTGCCGCCTTGAGTCCTCAAGAGCCGGTTCCCCCTGTCTCAGACTGGGAGCTGTAAGAAACCATCCGACAGCTCTGCTGAGCATGAACTGTTGGGTGAGGCCAAAGCGCAGACTTTCTGCCGGGGGCCCATCCGTGGGTAGTCATGGAGTTTAACCATGTCTCGGCCATATCTTGGTCATATCTCTTTCTAAGTCGATGTCTGCCTTGGGCACACGTTAGAGTATGGCTAGGAGGAGGGGTACGGCCTCTTTTAGACACCAACCCTTTCTCCGATGCCATCAATCAAGCTGAGCTAGCCTCTCGATTTCTTAAAGCTCTTTGCTGAAGAAAGCTGGTGGGCCAAATCCCCAGCCTCTCGGCCGACTTCTGGTGGTGCAGGTCTTCATCGAACAGGGTCGGCCCTGTCCGGTATTTGGACACGGGCACCCAGGACCTCGTCCGGTTTGACCCTGTCCGGGTTCGGACCCATTTCGACATTGTGGCTTGATCTGGTACCAGTTGGCTTGGATTGTGTACGACCTTTTGGATCTCTCCTTCCAGTATCCGGACCTGTTTACATGTACCTGATTCTCAGGATCCTGTTCTAATACTGGTTTGCTGCCCAGTTTTGGTCTTTCCCGGCGCCTCGGAGCCGCCTGGCCAAGGCGGCCCCTCCTATCTTAGTCTCTTCTCGGCAAGGAGACTAATGATTGTGGTTACACCCGCCCCGTTGGGGCCATGTTCTCCACATAGCTGATTTTGAGGGTCAGGTTGGTGACTCTGAGTCACTAGTCACCGCAGCTCCCATGCCCCTCGTGGTTTGGCAGCCAACGTGCAGGCTCTCCTAGAGTCTAAATTTTCCTGAGGCCTTCAAACTGGCTCTGCCAGATGGTCCTTCTCCCTCCGCAGGAATATCGCTCACGGTGGTTTGCCAGTCCGGTGACAGTTATCTTGTGAGTAAGGGGATTTCCCCTCTTCTACTTTATATAGCGGCCGTGTCCAGCACACTAGTGAGTGAGCTTGGATCGACTGACAGGGGGCTTCTCTCTCCCCCATTCCAGCGGGTATTCCGGTTGCGCCACCCTAGGGTCGGCCAGTCATGTAGAAGTTATTACACTGAGCTCCCCCTTTGGGTCAAGCTCTGTGTCTCATGGCTTTGTTGCAATGCAACGACCCGCAAATTCTTGTTTGGGAGTGGCCCTGATTTCACGCACGACGTTGTTTGATCTACGTCCGTGAAACGCAAAGATCCCGGGCCATGCTTGTTGAGCCTCTGGCGCAGTGGAGCGGGTCGGACCTGGTCACGCTGAGCCTAATTCTGGGCTTACAAAGTCTAGTAAGGCCGCTATGCTCGCTTCTTCTCCTGTGTCTGCGGGTAAGAAGCGCAAGCGTTCTGACGTCCAGCCTCCGCCTGGGTCAAAGGTAGAGAAGACTGGGTTAAAGTGACTCAGTAACATTGTTGAAGGTTGATTTAAAAATTGCGTAATTTTTGTATGAAATGTTACTTATTATCTTTTACTGTACTTACCCTCTAACATGCAAAAAATCCTGAAAAAATTCTCAAACCACAAAAGATATTAATAGTTTTTTTAGGAAGGTTTCACTGTACAGGGGGGGAGGGGGGGGGGGGGGTAAGAGGACACTTATTTTTTTTTTTTTTTTTTTTGGGGGGGGGGTCTCGAAATTTGAAAATTTGACATTTTGCTCCGGGGGGAGGGGTCAACTTTTTTAGGTCAGTCATTGGTATAAAGGGGGCGTTTTTCTCCAAAATACACACATCAAAAATACCAAAGGGGGGGGGGTTCAACCCCCCCCCCCCCCCAAATCCCCACCCCCCTGCGTACGTGCCTGCCCGTGGGGATGGGTGCCCCTGGCCTGTCAGTCTGACTGGGGATTTTTCTCGCGGTTGTCTTCGGCATCTGCAACAGGTTTCAGATGTGTTCACCACTCAACCGAAAGGTTTCGGTCACTTGTAAGCTTTTCGCACCAAGCTCTTGCAGCCTCTGATATGGTGAGGCGTGGTCTAGTAGTGACCATGCTGAGCGTATTTAGCTAAACCTTCCAGCTTTAGCAAGGCCCTTGAGCATTTTAGTTTGGTTGAAGCTAAGCCCTGCGGCTGACCAGTCCTTGAGGGCTGTTGCGCCGCCTTTTTGGGGGGAATTATCTCTTGGATACAATTCCCCAGCTAACCTTGAGGGTAATCAGAGTCCTTCGCTGCTGTTTGGGGTTTCTGTCCCTTTTGCTGCGGACATCTGTTCCCTCTGCCGCTGAGGCTGGACTTGTTCTTCGTTACCGTCTCGCGGTGCATGCTCTCTCTGACCGCCGGCCGGTATCGGGGAGGACGCTATGACTTCTGGACTCTCTGAGAGAGCCTCTCAGTTTATAGTCTAGAGTCGTAGGGATTCCATGAGGGCCCTTTATCACTCTCGTTTGGAGCACTTTTCTATTTAGTGTGAAGACCTCGCGATAGCATCTGGACAGAGGAGGAGTACGCTCCATGCCCTGTCTACCTCCCCCAGCCACATCTAGTGGGAGAGGTGGGGGTTCGGTTGATTCCACGACCCTCCTTTATTGCCAAGAATCAGTTGGCGTCGGTTGAGGGTTTTCCTCAGCCCTCTTTTGGATTTCTCCTCAGTCACATAGGACAAGGTCTGGTGCCTGGTGAGGGCGGTTAAGTGGTACTTGGATAGGACCAAGGGTCATCGGAGGGATGATCAATTATTTCTCATCACTCAAGAGCATTTCTCTCCTGTTCTCGCGATTCCATTTCTAGGTGGATCGTTGAGGCCATCCAGGGGGCTGGCCCTAAGGCCCTCCTCCCAGAGGGCAGGGCCGGGGCCCACGATGCCAGGTGTATCAGCACTTCCTGGGCGCTTTTCCAGGGAGTGGGTTTGGACGTTATTTTTAATGCCGCATTTTGGCAGTCTCCCAATTCTTTTACATTGTTTTATGTTAAGGACGTCCCCTCTTGAGAGGTTTTGTTAGCAACCCCATAAGGGGGCCTTCGTCTGCCATTGATCCCCAGTGATCTCCTTCTTTTTGGGACATGCCTCCTGGTCCTTTCTGTGCTGGTCTAGCAAATAATAGGTAGATACATTGATTTATTGTGGTAAATCAGAAAAATCAGAACTGATTTTATTATTTACTATATAAATCTAGGTATCTACCTATGTCCCTCCCTCCGTCCCCTCTCCTTGAAACATGTCCGAAGCGTTGTCTCTGGCGGCTCGTAAAAGAGGATGAATGGTGGGCCTGCGTTGCGCACATGAACCCTGGGAAGGCGATGTATTGGGGGCGGGGCATGCACAAATTAAAGTTTAAAGTTCTCAATTTATATAGTAAATAATTAAAACAGTTCTAATTTTCTGGCTTCTTACATAGCGCACGTGTCCGTCACGTTGTGACACTCCTGGCGCTGCCTTGATTATTACCCTGGGTTTTAGCAAGGTGGCCATTACGGCGCTCTAGCATTTCAAGGAATTAATTCCTGCCAGGTACCCATTCACATCACCTGGGTTGAGTGTGGAAAATGTAGATCAATGTCTTGCCAAAGCACATACGTGCTGCAGCGGGACTCGATCCGCGGACCTTGTGATCGACAGTCCGATGACGTATCCACTCGACCACGAAATCAAGATCCAAGACAATGTGTGAACTTTTTATATTAGCATTTGGTACTGTAATTATATCAATAAGATACCTATGCAAATACTGGTGAGAACATTTCAGTCCTTGTAATGAAAAGAGAGAGAAAAACTATGAAGAAGATACCACCTAAAGGCCCGGTCCCACTGCACTTACGGATGCAAAGAGGATGTAAAACGTAAACAAATCTTGCCATCCGTTGGAAAACGCTATGCATCCGCTGTGTACTCATTGCATACGTGTTTCATACGCTCTATCCTTCGAGCATCCGTCCACTGTGATTTCATCCGCGCAAAAAGTTTTGAGCTGCACAAAACTTTTAGAACGGATGAACTTCCGCCGTGTACGATGTAAATCCGCGACAAATACGAGCAACAAACGTTCTATGTCCGTTATCATCGGTTAAACGTCCGCTATATCCTCTCTGCATCCTCTGGGCATCCTTGCAACTCACATCCGCTGCAGCTGAAAACGGAAAGAGGGAGGAAAGATAAGGTACATGGAACGTCTATACATCGTTAGTAGCACGGAAATAGAAAGGATGTAAGCGTATGCATCTCGTATATAAAGTATTCAAAGCTGTCATCCACTTCCATCCGCTTTCCTCCGCTAGGCTTCCGATGAACATCCGTTTAACATCCCCGCTACATACTACCCACGTCCGTTATTTTCCGTTCTGTTTTCGCAAATTTTCGCAAATTTTGTTTATTTCTGGAGCGGATGAAAACGGATGGAGCCACCCGCGAAATTTTGCTCGTCCGCTGTGTCCTTTATGCATACGTTTTGTGTCCATCGGCCAGTGGGACCGGGCCATAAGGTTTCATTGTATAACAATTCAAATACTGTGTGGACCGAATGTGTTTAGCAGATGAATGCAAAGCAAGATTTTAGTAGAGTTATTCTAGAACAGTATGTGTTGGATCTGCATATTTTCGTGCTCTTTTGCTGTGCATGCAGTATAGCTCATATGGATTGCTTTTCATTCTCTCTCAGGCTGTGGGTGGTGATGTGGCTCTTCATTTTGCCATTGTAGGAGGAAGTCGGGAATGCCAGAAGCTTCTCATCCAATCCCCAATGATTGATCTGATGCTGAGGAACTTAAATGGAGACAACGCTCTTCACTTTGCTGCTCTCAGAGACTCAGAGTTGTGAGTTGTGATAACAGTATCCTGTTTAGCTAAGATACGTATTAAGTGTAAACTTGTATTCTTCCCCCGTCCATTAACCCTCAATGTTGAGTACTTTGTAGTTGTTGTTAAAAAAAAGAAGAAGACCTGATTTTAACAAGTCCAATAACGTTGACCCAACATCAATTTGCTGATCCTTTACCAAGAAACTTGATTTTAATCATTGTCCGATGTCGGCCCAACGTCAGCTTTATGATGTCATAACTTGGTCAATAAATGTTACAATCATATTTACACAGTTTATATGATGATGATGATGATGACGATGATTGATGATGACGATGATTGATGATGATGTTTGAGGATGGAGAGATTGATGATGAATGATGATGATTGATAATGATTGATGATGATGATGATGATGACGATGATGATGGTGATGAAGATGGTGATGATGATGATGATGTTGATGATGATGATGATGATTGAGGATGATGATGGTGATGAAGATGGTGATGATGATTGATGATGATTGATGACGATGACGATGATGATGATGATGATGGTGATGAAGATGATGATGATTGATGATGATGATGATGTTGATGATGATTGATGATGATGATGATGTTGATGATGATGATGATGATGGTGATGATGATGATGGTGATGAAGATGATGATGATTGATGATGATGATGATGTTGATGATGATGATGATGGTGATGAAGATGATGATGATGATTGATGGTGATGATAATGATGATGATTGAGGATGATGATGGTGATGAAGATGATGATGATTGATGAAGATGATAATGATGATTGATGATGATGATGATGATGATGATGATGATGGTGATGAAGATGATGATGATTGATGATGATGATGATGATGTTGATGATGATGATGATGATGATGGTGATGAAGATGATGATGATGATTGATGGTGATGATAATGATGATGATTGATGATGATGGTGGTGATGAAGATGATGATGATTGATGATGATGATGGTGATGAAGATGATGATGATGATTAAAGATGTGATAGTTTTATCTTTACTCCTTTCCAGCTCTGTGAATATGATCTTGGATAAGATGCCTGTCCTTGCCTTAAACAGAAAAGAAGATGGCGTCACATGTCTTCATATTGCAGCACTTGTCAATAACTCTACCATTGCAAGGATTCTTATTGAAAAGGTATGCATAAAAGGAACGGCCGGTTTCTCAATTTCATCCCAATTTATATTATTATGATTACCCATTTATGATTGTTCAGAGTTTATGAAGTACATCCACATGGAATTTAAATTGGATTGAACATATTGTCTATTAGGAACCAGAAGGGCTTTAAAGGTACTATGTCCCATTTGCAGGCCAAAAAAGTGAAAAGGATAAATTCCAACGGCATTTGAAAGACAAAACTTATTTAGAACTTCTCACAAAACGAAAGGGCTTGAAAATGGCATTTAGTGGGAAAATAACGACCAGTAATTGTTGAATCAACGTAAGTGATTGCTTTCTTTCTTTCTTGATTTGATTTTGTTTGGCAAGAGTTGACTATTTTTGCCACAATTTTTTTGTGAATGATTTATACATTTACATATGTACAATTACATGTCATAAATGACTTTTTTTTAAAGATTGTTTTTCCTTCCATCCCTTTTCTTTCTGCTTATTTTCTTTTATATTATTTTTTTTTTAGAGAAAATTATATAAATTAATTAATTTGGAAAGAGAGACGGCCGTCTTGTTTACGCGTGCGCATATGCGCTCAAATATCAGATTCAATAAGTTTAATTTTTGATATTACAAGTAGTGGAATATTGATGTAGACCAATGCTCATCTACCTGTTTACAGCTCATTTTATGTATGTTATTACCAAAGAAAAAAATGTCGGTCAGTCACTCAAAATTGTCTGACAGTGAAGTTTAGAAGGTAAACAGGTTTCCTTGCATAATTTGAATACTACACAGGACATACATGACATATTCATAATTCCTGCAAAGTTCTACAGAATTTAATGTTGGCTGCCAAAGGGACATACCCGTAGTATCTTTAACTCGTATATTTTAACATAGAGTTAAAACCCTTCTGGCTCTGAACACACTATATGTAAAATGCTTGATAAATTTTGTAAAGATTACTCAATAGTTGTTTGTGAGCTATAAATATTTACTCTGATCTCTATATAATGCTAACTTATTGAATACACATAACATTTGCGGTTCTAGGTCACCTATCCCCCGGGCAACCATTCCCCGGATAACCACCCCTAGGATAACCACCCTCTATATGACAACTACCACCTAGAGCAACCACCCTCTAGGACGACTACCCCCAAGGACACCCTCTCCTGGACAACTACCCCCTAGGACAACTACCCCCCTGACAACTACCCCCCAGACAACTACTCCCTAGGACAACTACCCCCTAAGACAACTACCCCCAGACAAGGTCAACTACCCCCGGACAACTACCTCCCAGACACCTACCCCGTAGGAGACAACTACCCCCTATGTAATGTAGGTTAATAATTCATGACGCAGTATTAAATTGTCAGAAACATGACAATTTTATATTTTTCTTTAGATATCTATTGTTCCATAATAGAGAAACATTGCATTAATATAATTTCAAGGAATCTGTGGATATGAAGTATCAATTTAGTTTGTTCTTAATATTTTGAAGGGAAGATGCACAATTGATTCTAACGCCAACAATAATGGAAGCCCTCTGTTTTTGGCTGTGATAAGGGGTGCCACTGAGACAGTCGAGGTGTTGGTAACACACGGTGCAAACATCAACCAACAAAACAAATCAGGCTGGACATGTATGCATGCCATTCTTAAGATGCTGATGAACCCGGAGTATGAGGTGGAGGATTCTCTCACACTGAGAAAGGTAAATTAGCTCATCAGACCTGTCGTGATGGTGATGAGGATTGGAGTGGGGAGGGGGAGGAGGAGGAGGAGGAGGAGGAGAAGGAGGATTCTCTCACACTGAGAAAGGTATATTAGCTCATCAGACCTGTCGTGATGGTGATGAGGATTGGAGTGGGGAGGGGATGGAGGAGGAGGAGGAGGAGGAGGAGGAGGAGGATTCTCTCACACTGAGAAAGGTAAATTAGCTCATCAGACCTGTCGTGATGGTGATAAGGATTGGAGTGGGGAGGAGGAGGAGGAGGAGGAGGATTATCTCACCCTGAGAAAGGTAAATTAGCTCATTAGACCTGTTGTGATGGTGATGTGGATGGGAGTGGGGAGGGGGAGGAGGAGGAGGAGAAAGAGGAGGAGGAGGAGGGGGAGAGGGGGCGGGGGAGGAGGAGAGGGGGAGGGGGGAGGAGGGGTAGAAGAGGAGGAAGACTATGATGGTGAGGCTGATGATGGTTGTGATTATGGTACTGAAGTCCATGCGTGCAATCCTGAAGTTGTACGATTCTGAGCATGAGCACAATAGTGTACAAATAAAAACCTGAGGCAATTTGTTGTAACGGTGGTGATGATTATGATGATGATGTTTAACTGTGTCCGCAAAGTTCACCTAATGCTCGTTATCTGAGAAATGCATTTTCAGTGTTTTTGCCCTTTTCTAGATTCGTGCTTCCATGAGGGAGATAGGAGTCTCGTCACCTGGTGGCGCCCTTGCCTGTTACCTTGTCAGAAACGGAGGGAAACTGGACATTCTTGACGAAGAAGGAAACAAACCAATAGATCATGTGGTGGATCCCAAACTCAAAGAATGTCTGCAGAAGTGTCTAGAACTCTATAGGTTAGAACAATGTACATTCTTATTATTTGTCCTCTTTATAGAGAAGGACAATATGTATTCAGTAATATTATTTATTTAGAGGCAGAAAGGCCTTTACACAGAGGTACATGTAATATCATTCTGGTTCTGAACAGAGGATATGCTGCCCCCATTATTACCAGCAATCATGGAACGATCGCGGTTTGAATCGTAATACGAATTATCACGATTGTAAATTGAAGCAGAAGACTTGTCTGGAGATGGCTCATGTTTTAATTGACCCAGAGAATAATCACTCCTTAAGTGTTCCATGATTAGTTCGGGTTCACATTTTCCACCTCCTTTAATAATATGCATCAAGCAATAATGATCACAATTCTAAGTTTTATGGACACCTATTCGTTATTTGTCATAGTGGATGTTATATTAAGTACTAATTATAATCATCAACTCATGTGCAGTCTTTTGCCTCAGATTCTGAAACAAAATCCTGGATTTAGCTCATGCTGTAATCATAATTTTAAACCTTTAGGTCAGACAATCAGGAATCCCATGACTTTTACAAGCCTGTCTGATTTTTAAGATATTTATGATTGGACATCAAAATTTCATATTTCGTCTTCCTAACGGTATTTATAACAATGCAGTCTATTGGGGAAAATCAGTATGGTAAAACCTGTCACTCAAAGATTTTAATTTTTTTGAGGCAATTCATGTTCATTTTGAAGTGCAATTATTTTAGGGCTTCAATATTACACCATATCACAGACACTGATTACATGATGGGCCATGCATCTCAGATTTAACATTCTTAAACGATGCCTTTGTGCTCGACAAAGGCAACGAGTTCGGGTCAGCGCATCAGTGCAGCTCTCCAAATCGTGCTCCAATATTCATCAAATTTACTCTGAATTTTTGGCAGAGTCGAGCTGAGATTTTTACATCAGCTTGTAGATCTAAGGCCAGAGATCAGACTAGACAACTTTTGAAGCATGTATGTTGCCTACAAGGAGGATATTTGATGATTATCATTTTTCTGGGATTGATGATATACATGTATACTGATACAAGGAGACTTTTTGCTGGACCATTTTGATACACCAGAGTAAGTTATACTTTTGTGTCTCTGATGGGACAATAGGGAGGATTTAAGGATTACAAGAGTAATCCTTTCACCATGATCAATTTCAATGTCCTCCTGGCTATTATTCTAGGCTTTAGCGTCTGCCTGACTGATTCACAACTGTGCACCATCTATCAGTCAAACCAAGAAGCTTCATTTGGGCAAGCTTTTGTCCGAAAGAACTACATAAAGACTAGAATAGCCTATTATGCAAATAGCCATTCAACTTTTCAACTTGAACTGTTCAAAGCAGGGGACATCAACCCCAACCCTGGACCAACTATAATTGACAGTGACACCTCACAGAAATGTAAACAGTTGTACTACCCTCAACGGACAACATTCACTGGTTCAGAACTACACCGCTTAAAGAACATCACTGGTTATCAGCGACTTCCAAGTGATGTATATGACAAAGTGAAAGCCCTAGGTATTAGTTGCAAACCTCCAACTAAAAGGGGTACCAGGGGAGGTGTTAAGACGAAAGCCTGGTTAAGGAGTCAACTTTCTGGAACACGACTCGGATCAGTTGTTGATGGAAATGATGAAAGAAAGAAAGTTGCTCACTGTCCGATTCCAGTTCGTGTTCGGCCCCACACTCGAAATTCGTACACGCATGAAAGGCGGAATGGTGTTAACTTCGAGAATCTTAAACTTGTAGAGACTCTATCAAATGCTCCGTCACCTGTAGCACTTCATCTATGGAATGCCAGATCTGTGAGGAATAAAACCACTGAACTATATGACTATGTACTTCAAAATGATGTTGACATCATGGTCATTACAGAGACATGGCTCCGTGAAAGTGATCCTACTGTCATAACCGAATTGTCGCCACCCGATTTTTCCTTTCACAATGTTGCTCGTCATGGTGATGCTCATGGAGGTTTGGGTTTTCTGTTCAGAACTCACCTAGATCTCAGACTGAAGCAGATTGAATTTTCCCCTAAAACTTTTGAATTTGCCTGTGTTGTAGACAGGTGTGAACAGTATCGTATCATTGCCGTATATAGGCCTCCACCTTCTACGACTAATGGCTTTACAGTAAAGGCCTTTCTCGATGAGATTGATGAATTCTTAGGCTTATGTTCAATGTTGGGCAGTCGCGTCATCATTCTCGGGGACTTCAATGTACACGTTGATAAGGCACATCTACCGACCCCACGCCAGTTTCTGGAATCAGTCACTTCATCTGGCTTCTCCCAGCTCGTTGAAGAACCTACTCATGATGGTGATCACACGCTGGACTTGGTCATTACGAAGACTGGAGATGACATAGTCTGCAATTACAACGTCATTGACAAAGGCATGTCAGACCACTTTGTAGTGCGTTGCAATCTGAATATCCAGACACCCCCTTCGAGTACTGACAGAGTGCTTATCAAATCCAGAAACTATCGCCAGATTGACAGTGAGAAGTTTCTAGCTGATCTTTCATCACGTTTTGCGGATTTTCCGGAGAGTGATGTAAACGACATGCTGACTTCCTTGTATGGTGCTGTCCAGGGAGTGCTGAATCAACATTGCCCAGAAACGACGCGAAGACGGAAACAAAGACCATGTGCTCCGTGGTATGATGACAGTGTGATGGCAAGTCGACAACTAAAGAGAGCGCTGGAGTCAAAATGGAGAAAATCCAAACTTGTTTCGGATCGACAGAATTACATTAATCAAAAGAATAAGCTAAATGTTATCATTCAGAAAGCTAAGCGTAATTATTACACAAATGTTATTCTTGAGTCTAACTGCAGGAATATGTTTTCAACAGTCAGTTCATTACTGGGTCGTTCAAAGCATGTCCTCCCAGTGTCCGATGAACCGCTTCGCCTCTGCAATGATTTTGCCAATTTCTTTGAGGGCAAGGTTAGGAGTATCAGACGGTTACTTGATGCACATCCACCTAATCAGCAAACAGTATGGACTGTTCCAGATCCGGATAATGTTCCTCCTCCTCTTGGTCCAGTAGCGAATGACGACTTACTGCTGGCTTTAACACCAGTCAGCGATGAAGATGTGAAGAGGGTCATAAAGAAGTCTGCAAACAAGTCCTGTGACCTGGATGTCATGCCAACCTGGCTGCTTAAAGCTAATTCAGAGGTAATGGTACCCGTTATCACGTCAATCATAAACTGCTCGTTAGTGAATGGAGTTTTCCCTGACAAACTTAAATATGCAATAGTTTTTCCTCACCTGAAAAAATCTTCGTTGGATTCTTCGGAACTTAAAAACTATAGGCCTGTATCTAATCTTGCTTACATATCCAAGGTGATTGAGCTCGTGGTGTCCTCAAAACTGACAGCCCATGTCGAAGAGCTTAGCTTACAAGATGAATTTCAGTCGGCATACAGGAGACATCATAGTACTGAATCTGCACTAACCCGTGTTAGAAATGATATTCTATGTGAAATTGATAAAAGGCGTGGTGTGATACTAGTTTTATTAGATTTAAGCGCAGCCTTCGATACCATTGACCACGGATTTTTGATTGATAGGCTTTCCTCAGAATTTGGAATACGTGACACGGCTCTGCAGTGGTTTCGGTCGTATCTTAACTGTCGGACCTATCGGGTTCGCATAGATAGCACTTACTCTGATGTTCATACTTTAGATTATGGAGTTCCACAAGGGTCCGTACTCGGCCCGCTCCTTTTTACGCTATACGTCAAACCTTTGGGAAGAATTATTAGTCGCTACGGTCTTAGATATCATATGTATGCTGACGACACACAAATATACACAAGTTTCAACCCCAAAAGTCTTGCAAATTTTCAAGAAGAAATAAGTAAACTGGAACAATGTATCTCTGAAATTAGTATATGGATGACCTTAAATAAACTCAAACTGAACGAAGGAAAGACGGAACTACTGCTGGCCATGTCACCAAAGCTTAGACATCACTTACCGCGTGATATAAGTATAAACATAGGAAATGGTAGAGTACAAATGTCTGACAATGTCAAAAACTTAGGTATTTTCTTTCAATCTTCAATGTCCATGTCTAAACAAATTACTGCTTTGTGTAAATCGCTTAACTTTCATTTGTACAATATCTCTAGAATCAAGAATCTGTTGACCTCTGATGCGTGCCATCATGTCGTAAGATCATTAATCCTCAGTAGAATAGACTATGCCAACTCTCTTCTTTTGAATGCTAATGTGACAGACATTCAAAGATTACAACGAATCCAAAATCGTGCTGCCCGGGTTGTTTTGGGAGGGAGCAGGTATGAATCAGCATCTCCTCTACTTAAGCAATTACACTGGTTAACCGTAAATAACAGAATCATATACAAAGTTTCCCTAATTGTCTACCAATGTTTGAATAATTGTGCACCAATGTATCTGTCTGTGCTTCTACATACTCCTCCTAGACTTCAATACAACCTCCGCTCTTCTAACGACCCCACGCTCCTCCGATTACCACGTATCAATTCAAGATCGGGGGAGTGTAGTTTCTTTTATTATGGCCCCAAAATTTGGAATACCCTCCCTTTCGACCTCCGTACCTCTCCCTCAGTTGAAATTTTCAAGAAAAAACTAAAAACGTACCTCTTCAATAAGTAAATTGTAATTCTAATATTTTTGTTTGTTATTATAATTACTCTTTTATACATGTATTATCTTGTGTTTACTATGTCATTATTTCTGTAAAGCGCTTCGAGCAATTCGTTGGATGTTGCGCTATATAAAAGACAATTGTATGTATGTATGCCTTTAAGTAGCTTATTTTTTAACCCATTGCCTACATGAACCAGGTGGTCCCTGTGTTAGGTCCATGGGAATTAGAGAATTCAGTATTTATCGGGTTAACTTTGGCATCCATTTTGCAAACTGAATTTCTTTGATTTCTCCTCAGCCCTCATAGTTCTCCTGCACCTGCTGCCAAGAAAGAAAGAAATCCTCTTCTGTCAAGGATCCTTCCCTTCTTGAACAAGCGCCGAGAGGCACGTAAGAGGCCTGCATCAAACCTTGAAGGGATGAATGAAGTGGAGAACTTGGAAACAGAGGGAGAGGTGGAGCTCTCTATCAATCCTTTCAGTGAGTTTACCAGGATTAAGGATACATTCGAGATGAGCATCACATCTTTCTCATGATTTGTGTGAAATAGCAATAATCAACCCCTATTGTGATACCAAGTTTGAATAAGAATTGTCATACAACACGATCGCAACTGTTTAAAAAAAATCAACTAAGACAATTTCAATGGCCTTGTACATCACCCTTTGAAATGTGCAAACATTGCAAAGACATATTACGTGATCTGAACATGATTTCAATAGGACATACAATAGGATATTAAAATGGCACCTGAGTTGATTTTCGAAAGTAGTACTCCAAATTTAATGAAACAAGTTTGTAATCATTTGTCATTTCTTTCTATACACATTTGGATAAAAAAGGGCTTTTCATGGAGGCAAAGTTCACGATCCTTGAGCTCCTGTTTAATTGCTAGAAGAAAATGATGAAAATGTAAATGTATTGAATACACTATTAGGACTAGGGCATTCAAACAGTACACATCTCTGTATGGGTTCAGATAAGGGTGTAATGCCTCAGTCACACCTTTGCGTATTGCTGCATAGTTATGGGAAGCCGTTTCAACATTTATTCCTATTTCTTGATATCAATAATTGAATTTTTTAAATCAAGGAGTGAATTCTTGACACCAAGTAATCAAATTCCTGATATCAAGAATTACCATTGCTTTACAACAGACATTAATTTCCTGATATCAAAAAATAGGAATAATTGTTAAAACGGCTTGCCATAAATATGCAGCAATACGCAAGCCGAATACGCAAAGGTGTGACTGAGGCATAAAGGAGGTATAATTTAGTAGAGCTTTTGTGTGCCTTGTAATATTACTTAATTATGCAGTCATGAGAGGAATGCCGATAAGCTAGCTCTGTTTTTTCGTTTTCTCTTTCTGTGTACCTCTATGTTTGTTCTTCAATCTTGCTCTTTCTCTGTCTCCCTCTGCCCATCTCTATCCCTCCCTATTTTTCTCTCCCTCCCCCTCTCCCCCTCTCTGTTTTCCTCTGCCGGTCTCTCTATTAATATTCTGTTTATCTCTCTAATAACCATCTTCCAGACATAAGTGATGAGCTACCAAAGTCTCCCTTGGATGACTTTACAGTGGATGCCATCTCATCAGATCAGATGGTGACAGATGAAGATCTCAAGGCAGTAAGTGATCAGCTCCATTAAAAAAAAACTTGTTATCAATAATACTTGTTAAAATAATTGATATACGGCTACTGAAATTATTACATTTTATTGACCAAAAGCAAATGGTAATTCAATTGTTTACATGTCCTTAAAATAAGCTTTTTAAAGAAGTGCCCACTGTAATAATCATATTGCTACGCTTTTCATTGACTGTATGACAGGGAGGGGGGGGGGGGGGAGGGAGTTGTTTTTGTTTGGGAGTATCTCCCAACAGTGGCATTTGGAAGCTCAATCAAAGTTGTACCCCCTACTTCTGATAAAGGGCTCATGAATAAATTCAAATTTTGTTGAGTGATGGGAATTCAAATATAGAAGACTATTCTTGACTTTCATTTCATAATTTACATATTAAGCAAATAATTACTGTTGGTGAAGGTGATGGGACAAACTCACTTCCGAGGCGATCTAGATGTAGCTTTATCTTTCCGAAGCGAAGCTGAGGAAAGATAAAGAAACTTAACCTGAGGTTAAGTTTTTGAATTTTTAATATAATTTTGAAATTTTAAGTTATTTTTCAATGAAACTTAGACTAAAGAGTTATCAAATATCCCCAGTCATGTGAGTAGAATTTCAGGTCACTAAGTCAAGGTCAAAGGTCCTTTTCGGTTAACAACTTAGACTATAGTTTAAACATATTTGTGGCTTACACCCAGTAAATAAGATCGATTGATCGATCTGTAATTGAAAAAACAATTACAGATCGATCAATCGATCTTATTTACTGGGTGTAAGCCACACATATGTTTAAACTATTGAAATTTCTCCCAGGAAGCATTACATTTATAAAAAACTTAGACTATGTTGTGGGCTTGTGGCATCAGGTTATGATTTTGAATTTTTATCATAATTTTGAAAGCATACATTCCTAGTACCATTTGTTTGTCTCGCAATGTATGGTCAACAAGGGGTCTGAAAGATCACGATGCTTCGTGTGCTGCTGCTACACTTCGTCAGGTGATAAAATATATTTTAAGCAAGCGTCCGGGTGGACTTGCGGTCAAATAATTAGAACAATAATGGACAAGGCCTATTGGTCGAAGCACACGGGTGCTCAACCAATCAACTGGCCCTTGGCTCGGTTCGCCTGCCAGGCAAGAACAATGGCGTGCTCAACCAATCAAGCTGGCTCGATGCCGGCCGGCTGGACGGGGAGTGTCATGGCGACGTATCGTACGCATCCAAAATTTGGGGATATCGATCCCGTTGTCTCTGTTGAAATTATTGGGATTGAGATGTATTATGATATAATCCTCCGTGTGTACCAATATCGTTCTTGGGAAAGGCATTGAACCCCGTCCCACAATTCCCACAATCACAATTCTAACTTTTATGAACACCTTTTCATTATTTGTCATAGTGGATTTTATATTAAGTACTAATTATATTCATCAACTCATGTGCAGTTTGTAACTTTTAAGATAAAGACCAGTTCTGGTCATGCGATTGCATTGTGAAAGAAACGTTGTGGAATCAACTAGAAAAGGTGGATCATCTAGCATATAAGTTTTGGTGTGTACTGCAAGGTTCCGGAACCATCAAAATGATAAGAAATTTGGCCCAGTCTTGGTAAAGTTACAAGCACTGTACACAGAAAGATGTATTTGGGACTACGCGACATGTGCGCGACACATGCGCGATATCTATCAGGTCCAAATAGATATATTAATTTACCAAATATATCAATTAGTAGACGGTTTCTCGTCAGAATTCGTATCACGTATTAGTCAAAACATATTCTTTCACATGATTGGAATAAGAGCTTCCATTTCATTTTTTGAGAGGGGGGCGTTTCCAAAACTGGTCTTTACCTTTAAAGTTCGTTCTTGGGAAACGCATAGAACCCCGTCCCAGTCTTGCTGATGCTAGTTATCCCAAACATGTTTGGCTACGGCTGAGTTGTCAGTTTGCGGAGCCTGACGCCCCTCTTATGCTGAGTGATTCTTTCTGATATCGGACATCAGACATGGGATATTGGACCGCCGCACAGTGGGCTAGGGAGGAACCAAAGTGCACCAAAACTCTTTTTTTGGTGATTTATTTTTTATTTTTTTTCTTGCTCAGTTGAAAGATAATACATTGAAGAATACCTCAGTAAAATATTTAATTCCGGTATGCACAATAAGGGCTCATATTTACTTCTTCAAACAACAAAATCTTACATATTCACAGTTTTAGTGCAAAAGTGACTTATTTTATATATCTTTCAATTTAACATGAAGTTTTTATGATATTGATATGAAATTGCTCTCACATAAATCACGGTGCGATGGGGCGCGTGACACTTGTTCTGACACCGCCGACCAAAATAAACACATTTTTCGGGGCAATGTTGCAATGAAAACGGCTCTTACATAATAACGGCCAGAATCAGGCAGCCAAATCTGGTATCAACTTAAAGCTTAGACGTCAGAGAAAATGTTGGTAATAAAATTTAAACGGAAATCCCAGGAAATCCAAACATTTCCTCTGGGTTAATGAAAAATAACTCCCCCAAAATGAGTTTTGGCGCACTTCGGTTCCTCCCTGGCCCACTATGTGCCGGTCTACCCGGTCCACCGGTCCACCAGTAGAGTATAAAAGACGGTTGCTTACAATATATTTTATAACCTGACAAAGTTTAGCAGCGGCACAAGAAACGTCATCTTTCAGATCACTTGTTGACCATACATTGCGAGACAAACGAATGTTACTAGCGATATTATTTTTGATACTATATCCGCAATGAGTAATATATTTAGCATTATACGTTCCTATTCAATGAAACTTTAACATAATTGGTTATCGAGTATCACCAATCATGTGATTAGTACTTTGGGTGACAAATTCAAGGTCAAATGTCATTTCAGGTCTGCACACTTGGACTTTGTTGTGGCATCAACATCCAGATTTAGAATTTTAATGATTTCAAAAGTGTTTGTTCAAATTCGATGAAACTTGTACCCAAGGGTTATCAAGTATCACAAATCATATGACACAAATTCCAGGTCACAAAGTCAAGGTCAAAAGTCATTTTAGGTCAGTAGACTTGAATTATGTTTTCACAACTTAAAGGTTCTATGTCCCATTTGCAGGTCAACAAAATGAAAAAGTTAATTCCAACGGCATATGAAAGACAATACTTATTTAGAACTTCTCTCAAAACGAAAGGGTTTGAAAATGGCTTTTTGTGGGAAAATAACGACCATTAGTTGTCAAATCGACATAAGTGATTGCAATCACCTAAGTAACAGTCTGATTTTTAGACCCTTGCACCGAATGGTTGTACGTTTTGTCCTACACAAAGATTCAATTAGTTTAATTTTGGCCATTACAAGTAGTGGGTTATTGATGTACAGACAACTAGCACCGTTACAGAGGAAGTACACATACATTTAGCAACTGAATTATTCATACCCCTCGTAAATTTGATGTTTTGTGTGTATCGGTTACTCAAGAATGAAAGGTGGACTGGTGGAATTAGGGCGTTTGTTGAATACGTTCAGATGTAAGTTTACCACCTTCTCAAGAGACATATATTGGGACAAACTAATTGTTCATATACTTTACAAATTACAAAACTTGGTAAGGGTATAAATCATTTATGCGTTAACTGTACATGTATCGTTCCAGACTACACCCTCCCATCTATCTTCCCCTTCCCCTGGTGCCATTTTGAATGTCTGATGGCTATATGACCTGGAGGTGTTTCACAAAGATACTAAGTTGAACTTATCTCAAAGTTTGACTGAAAAATTATGGAAAGCCGTTAGCATCTTTGAAAATATTTTGTAAAAGTTATTTTGAAAGGCATAACATTTTGATTCAAATCATTTTATATTTTCTATTATCAAGGAGATTTCATGTTCTTGGTGTGGAATTTATAAAAAGTCTAAAATACTTCAAATTTGTTCTTTTTAATATAATATTTTAAGGTTACAAATGGCTCTTTATAATGTTTAAGTCCAACTTAGAGTTAAGTTCGAATTAGGATCTTTAAGAAACACCCCCCTGGACATACATCTATTTTGTTCTCTTCTTTTCAATTCATTGCACAGAATGTGGAGAAGGCAGCTGAGCATGCTTGCAGTGTTTGTGAAGAGCAGTTGACTCAACTGATTGGGATCCCATGCCAACATGTACAGACTTGGCCAGGTGAGAATAGCACAGGGAGAATCATGTCGGAGAGAGAGACAGAGATAGAGAGAGAGAGAGAGACAGAGACAGAGAGAGAGAGAGAGAGGGGGAGAGAGAGAGAGACAGCGAGTGAGAGAGACAGACAGAGAGTGAGAGGGAGAGAGACAGACAGACTTGACCAGGTGAGAATAGCACAGGGAGAGTCATGTTGGAGAGATAGGGAGAGTGAGACAGAGAGACAGACAGACAGACAGACTTGAACAAGTGAGAATAGCAAAGGGAGAATCATATGGGAGAGAGAGAGAGAGAGAGAGAGACAAACATGGCCAGGTGAGGATGGGTGTGAAGGATGAGGGGGAAAGATGAAAAATAAAATAATATTAATGTATATAGCGTTCTTACACAATTAGTTTCACACTTGCTTTACATGGTATAAAGTTAGGAAAATCAGTTAAATTTATACGTGTTCAAGTGCTTCTTAAATGTGTCTAGTGTGGGTGCTGTACGGAAGTTACAGGTCAGTTGATTCCAGAGGTGGTGGTGATGTGCATATGATTGAAAAGCATTGTCACCTGTCACTGTGGATGATAAATAGGAAGAAAGAGGGAAAATGGAAATCACAAAGAAAGGGAGAGATTGAGGGAAATAGAAGGACACCGTAATTTGTCTTGATCAATGCAATAGCCTTCTTTATGGCCTTTCGGACTCGCACATTGCAAAACTCCAGAGAAGCCAAAACTTTGCTGCCAGGCTTGTAACACGCACGCGTTTTTGTGAACACATCACCCCAGTACTTCGCGAATTGCATTGGTTGCCGGTGACGTACCACATTATGTACAAAATCTTAGTTTTAACTTATAAATGCATTCATGAATTGGCACCAATTTATCTGCAAGAATTAATCGAGGAATACAAACCCTCACACAGTTTACGGTCATCTTCACAATTAAACCTCGTATCTACTTCTGTGTCAACTCTTTCTTATGGTAATCGCTCCTTTCGCGAAGCTTCTGCTGAACTTTGGAACAGATTACCTTTAAATGTATAAAACTGTCAAACTGTTAACCTATTCAAAACTAGTCTAAAGACACATTTATTCAAAATTGCGTTCGATGATTAATTAACTCTGTTCACTTTGACGTGTATTCCATATGTATTGTAATTTGTATGTTTATTTGGATTTTTAGTTTTGTATAAGATGTAATTGTATATCAGTCTATTTTGTGTGTATAGTGCTTAGAGACTTCGGTGGAAAGCGCTTTATAAGTAACGTTTTTATTATTATTATTATTATATAATCACTATTGAATTGGTGTTATCATTTCATGAAATATAAAACATGTACCATTGGTGTAGCTTGTAATAAGATATTGTGATTGTCTTCATTCCACCTTGCAGTGAAAGATTCAATTTTAAGGTTCGTTTATTCCAGATGTTTATTCCTTTCTTGAGCAAAGTACTTGAGAGAAAAAAAAATGATAGTGTATCACTATGATTAATGGACTCATTTTAAACTTATATAAATTGAAATGATATCCTGAGATGTATTTTTGAATTTCCTTTCATCGCCCTCCTCTATACCAGGTGAAGAGGCGAGTGCCTTACCCACTGCCACCACTCAGAGAAAGGAACCAACCAAACGAGTCGTCTCTGTCCTCCGGCGGCAGAACAGCGAGTTTCGCATGGCTCTGGCTTGCACGGTGTGTTTCCAGCGCAAGAAGTGCGTGGTGTTTGAATGCGGTCATAGTACCTGTAAGGAGTGTGCAGAGTTACTGCCCGAGTGCCCCGTCTGCCGTCAACCTGCCTCCAAAGTCATTCCTCTCTACCTCTAAGACGGATGCATTCTTTTGAGTAAAGTAGTGTATGTTATTGACTGGTTAATTTAGAACATTATTCATAATATGCTGCATGAATCAACAAAAAATAATCAAAGCTTTTGCAATTAACCTCTGCCAAAGCATTATCGGGTCATTTTTAGAGGTTTTGACAACAACTTTTTATTGTTATATTTTGTTTTCACTAATGACGCGGTTAGTCAAGCTATTGGTTATAATTTTATGCATGCATTGATGAGAAAATATCAAACAGAGCTGAAAGAAAGAATCCATCCGGGTAAAAATAATTCATCCTTCATGGTGTAGGGACTCTGGTTATTCATTGTCACCTATCTTAACTCCAGTGATCTCAAGGCAGCAGACAGCAAGAAACTCTGTGATTATCACTTGGCTTGAGAAAATCCACATAAGTGGACGAAAGCTTGCCTACTTAATTGCAAGTTTGGTAGAAGCTTAAAGTTCATGTAATGATCTGAAGGGTAATTTCTACATGAATCCTATAACCTTTAGACACTACAAAGCCTGCCATTAACTTCACTTTCAAAAAGCATATCATGTAAAATGAAATTCTATCTATCGGGCTAAAAACTGCCGTTATTGGTAACTATAAGTATGTCTTGCTAGATAAATATATGTTTTCCTTTATGAATTTAAAATTAATTCTTATTCTATGATCCTGGCCTTGAATTGTAGGAGTGCTAGCACTAAGAGAGTTTCCATCTGTACACCATATTGTATATCAGAAATATGAAATATAATCATTAAAGTATATTATATGTACAGTGTGTGTTAATTCTATTCAAGAAAATACTGTATTGACGTCCAAAAGATTTGTTATACATTTACTTGTTAAAAGTATGTTTTATACCTCCGCTACAAAGTAGCCGGAGGCATTATGTTTTCGGGTTGTCCGTCCGTCCGTCCGTACGTCCCGTTTTCGTGATCGCGTTATCTCAAGAACCAAGATGGATTCCCGCCAAACTTTAGTCATATATGTGTCTTGCAGTGTCAATGAACTGATTAGATTTTGGAATCACGAGATCCAAGGTCAAAGGTCACAGGGCTCATTATGTATGCAAAAGTAGCTCGTGATCGTGTTATCTCAAGAATCAATTGATGGATTCCCGCCAAACTTTAGTCATGTATGTATCTTGCAGAGCCAATGAACCGATTTGATTTTGGGGTCGCAAGATCAAAGGTCAAAGGACTCATTATGTTTGCAAAAATAGCTCGTGATCGCGTTATCTCAAGAGCTCATTGATGGATTCCAGCTAAACTTCGGTCATGTATTTATCTTGCAGAGCCAATGAGTTGACTAAATTTGGGGGTAACGAGGCCCAATGTCACAGGTCACAGGGCTCATTATGTTTGCAAAAATAGCTCGCTTCTGTTTTGGTTTGTAAAATTGCTTCATGGCGGGGGCATCATTTTCGACTGCGCGCAGTCGAAGGTCCATCTAGCTAATAGAGTACTGAAATACTATTGCCAGCCTGTTCTAGTAGTATAAGACATAGTTCTACCAATAGCGTAATATTGATCACGAAAGTAGAGTGATATTACAGTGCTTGTAATATTGCCAGCCAATATGTGTTCAGAAGAGTATTTTGGAAAATACTATTGTCAGTTCTGAGAATAATTCCAGTGAAAGTGATTATACAGTACTTATTAATTATGTTTGAAACATGCAATATGCAATATTACTCGCCAAAAGTACTATTTAAAAGTTCTTTAGTTGTAGAAAGTAAAGTTTTATAAAGATCTATATCACAACAATGTAAGTGCTAGTATAATCACAAGTATGTGAATATTGTATTCAAAGTTTTAAAAAATATAGTTGTTGACAATCAAGACTGGAAACTTATTTGGTTCAATGCCTGCTATGAGTGATTATCACAAGCATTATGACTATCACAGTCATTATTTCTTTGTTAATTCGAAACAGCTTTAAATATTGAAAGAACATGAATTTGAAAATGATTTATTTCTTCACAATTACAGGAAAATTACCTGTTTTGGTAAAACCTATGAGAACTGGTATTTTTTTCTGCTGGTTGTGAAGAAAGAAGTCATTTAGAATTCACATCACCAATCAGATGCATCTCTTCAGTGATGTAAGAACATGAATTTCATTTATTGAATAACAACACATTTACTAAAGATTCAGATTCAGATTCAGATTCAGATTAATTTTATTGGTCCATTTGGAAATTCAGTTGTTGGCATTACATAAGCACATGAACAATATACAATAGAAAATAATATACACAAATATATAATACACAGTAGCATATGTACAATGACATATTCATATGGAAACACAGATATAAATCGTTTTTACATAGTGGAATGGTATAAGAAAATAGAATAAATAAATGGACTTCCAACACTATTGAAAATGTACTATTGCGTAGAATTTGGAAATGGTATTGATATTATCTTTTATTATTATTTTATCATTTGTTATTATCATCATCATCATTATCAACAGTATTTATTACAGACTAAATTAAAGATTAGTAATAATAATAATTATAATAATAATACTCAATTTTATATAGCACAAATTACAATTAAGTAATTGATACTTGTAAATGTGAGAAATTCTATTACTGTATGGCAGCTTTGTTTACCTGTTTTATATACTCTTTTTACGCTTTTATTAGTGATTTAAGAAATGAATTACTTTCATTGAATAATAAACATATTTACTAAAGACTAGTAGTTGGTACATGTAAATGTGAGAAAATCTATTACTGTACGGCAGCTTTGCCTACTTGTTTTCTTTTTCATTTTACATTTTGATTAGCTCCCTTTGAGAGAACTCAAGGCCGTCCAGGCGCGGATCCAGGATTTCTTAGGGGGGGGGGGGGGGCCCACTTTTTTTTTGGGGGGGTCCGAAAAAAATCGTAACGACAACGACTCAGCCAGCCGCTAAATAAGCGGGGGGGGGGGGGGGAAGAGAACACTTTTTTTTCTTTGGTCTCGAAATTTGAAAATTTGACATTTTGTTCCGTTGGGGGGGGGGTGAGGTCACCTTTTTAGGTCAGCCATTGGCACATTTTTGTTAATTTTTTTTTTAATTAAAAAAAAAAAAAATCACAGAAAAGGGGGGGGGGGGGGTTGCTCCAAAATACACACATAAAAAACCGAAGAGGGGGAGGGTCAACCCCCTAACCCCCTCCCCCCCCCCCCCCTTCCGTACGTGCCTACTCGTCTGAAAATAGTTTTTCCCCTCCCGCGCGAAGCGCGGTAGGTTTCACGTTTCATTAAATCATTAGAAAAAGGAGACGATTCGTTGTACAGTTTTTTACTCTTAATACTCATCTGAATTCAGTTTTCCCCTCCTCCCTTCCGCGCGAAGCGCGGAAGCTTGTACGTTTCATTAAATCATTAGAGAAAGAAGACGATTCGTTGTACCGTTCTCGAAAATAATCCTCGTCTGAATACAGCTTTTACGTTTCATTAAATCATTAGCGAAATAAGACGATTCGTTGTACCGTTATGACTTTTAATCCTTGTCTAAATTCAGTTTCCCCCCTCCCACGGGAAGTGCGGAAGCTTTTACGTTTCATTAAATCATTAAAGAAAGAAGACGATTCGTTTTACCGTTCTCGACTCTTAATCCTTGTCTAAGTTCAGTTTTCCCCCCGCTTCGACGTTTCATTAAATTTTTAGAGAATGAAGACGATTCGTTGTTCCGCTCTCGAAAATAATTTAGTTTCCCCCTTTTACTTTGACGTTTCATTAATTCATTAGAGAAAGAAGACGATTCGTTGTACCGTTCTCGACTCTTAATCCTTGTCTGAATTTCAAATATGTTCTTTGTCTATTCCCTTTTCTTCCTACGTCCTCTTCCTTTACACTCCTCTCTTTTTTGGCCGGCGTTTATTGGGGGACCACCCCACCGCCCCCCTGGCTACGCGCCTGCTGTCAGATTATGTTGATACCTTGTCCACCTCGGAAGCTCAGGGGTTTAAGGTTTTAATTTACGGTCAGATTAGCATTCAGGGGTCCGCCTTAGCGCCCTAGACGGGGTCCAGGGGGCAGAGCCCCGGAAGTTCAGGAGTTTAGGCATTTAATTACGGTCAGATGGGCATTATTTTGATACCTAATTGCAGGTCACTTATTGACTTGGGGTTCAGGGGGCGGAGCCCCGGAATCTCAAGGGTTTTAGGCACTCAATTACGGTCAGATGAGTATCGAGGGGCTCGCCCAAGGTTGGTTGGGTCCAGGGGGCAGAGCCCCCAGAAGCTCAGAGGTTTTAGGCGTTTAATTACGGTCAGATGAGCATTTTTGATACCTTATTATTTGTGACACTAGCAGGACACTATTTGGCGTGGGGTCCAGGGGGCAGAGCCCCCAGAAGCTCAGGTGTTTTAGGCATTTAATTACGGTCAGATGGGCATTATTTTGATACCTAATTGCAGGTCACTTATTGACTTGGGGTTCAGGGGGCGGAGCCCCGGAATCTCAAGGGTTTTAGGCACTCAATTACGGTCAGATGAGTATCGAGGGGCTCGCCCAAGGTTGGTTGGGTCCAGGGGGCAGAGCCCCCAGAAGCTCAGAGGTTTTAGGCGTTTAATTACGGTCAGATGAGCATTTTTGATACCTTATTATTTGTGACACTAGCAGGACACTATTTGGCGTGGGGTCCAGGGGGCAGAGCCCCAAGAAATCAGGGGTTTTAGGCATTAAATGACCCTCATATGAGCATCTAAGGGCCCGCCTTAGGGCCCTAGGTGGAATCCAGGGGGCAGATTCAACTGGTTCCAGTTGATTCTAACTGGTCCATGATGCACATCAAGCGGATATTTGGTGCGACTGCATTTCATTTAACTGGAACCAGTCCTCATAATGACCAGTTACACCAGTTGATAACTGGTCTGTTTGCATACTTCCAGTTGCACCAGTTGATAACTGGTCTGTGCATGGCATATTTCCAGTTGCGCCAGTTGATAACTGGTCTGTGGGCATATTTCCAGTTGCACCAGTTGATAACTGGTCTGTGGGCATATTTCCAGTTGATAACTGGTCTGTTAATTCCAACTGGACCAGTTAGAATTTGACCAGTTGAATTCCGACTGGACCAGTTAGAATTTGACCAGTTGAATTCCAACTGGACCAGTTAAAAATCTGACCAGTTGAATTCCAACTGGACCAGTTAGAATTTGACCAGTTGAATTTCAACTGGACCAGTTAGAATTCAACTGATCAAATTCTAACTGGTCCGTGTGCATATTGCCAGTTGATACCAGCTAATTTGCATAATGGATATGGGGTGCATGCATATCTATGTTTCAATACAATTTATATGAATTTACAGCATATTCCTTAATTACTGCTGATTTAGTTATGTGCAATTCTTTTCGAAAATACTACAAATTGCCAATTATTAGAACATTTCATTACTTCGTGTAAATAACATTTAATTAAACATGAATTAGGGAAAACATTAACTATGAACTAAAATAGCTTCGATAAAATACAAGTATATTCAAAATATTTAGTTAACAAGTCTACCTATTACCAATGCCTTTACAATGGAAATTGCAGACGATCTAGTTATACTGGGATGTTGCTAATTGGCAAAATTAATTAGTACAAATGCTACTTATGCCTTTAATTACTAATTAAGTTTTCAATTGGTAGTTGATTGGTCCAGTTAGACCAGTTAAATCCAACTGGTAACCCTGGAAATTGAAATGGGCCAGTTGAATTCTAACTGGTCTGAATGGTCCAGTTAGACCAGTTAAATCCAACTGGTAACCCTGGAAATTGAAATTGCCAGTTGAATTCTAACTGGACCAGTTAGAATCTGACCAGTTGAATTCTAACTGGTCCAGTTGGATTTCAACTGGTCGAATTCTAACTGGTCCAGTTAAAATTCAACTGGTCTGGTTCAACTGGCCCATTTCAATTTCCAGGGTTACAAGTTGGCTTTAACTGGTTTAACTGGACCAGTTGCAACTGGTTTTTCCTTCTGGGTTCCTATTTTGTCCTTCCCTTTATCTCCTCTTTATCTTTTTTCTTTCCCTTTCCTTCCTTCTCTTTTATTTTT